CTCAGAATGGAGCTTTCTAAGCCCTCTTGCTGATCTGGGCTTTGTTCTGGAACCTCAGAGCTGGTTTTATTTGCATTTTTCAAATTAATAGTTATTTAGAGCCTTTTTTCACATGCTTCTTGATAGTTCAGATTTCTTCCTTTGAGAACTGCATATTTCTATCCTTCGACCATTTGGGTAATGACTCCTGTACTGTTAAACATTTGAATCTGTTTCTTGTATGTCTTGGATATGAATCTTTTTGGGGGGGGGGCGGGGCAATTGGGGTTAAGTGACTTGCCCAGGATCACACAGCTAGTAATTGTCAAGTGTTTGGTTTGAGGCCGGACTGGAACTCAGGTCCTCCAGACTTCAGGGCCGGTGCTCTATCCATCGTGCCAACTAGCTGCCTCAGATATTAATCTTGTAACTGAGAAACTTATTGCAAATATTCCTCCTCACTTACCCATTTCCTTTATAACTATCAGTCAAAAAGTTAAAAAGCATTTATTAAGCACCTACTGTGTGCTAGGCACTAGGAATATAAAGAAAGGCAGAAGACAGTCCTTGTTGCAAGGAGCTCATGGTCTACAGCAGGAGACAATGTGAAAATAACTATGTACAGAGAAGGTACAGGATAAATTGGTGATAATTAAGGGAGGGAAGGCACTAGTGTTAAGGAGGATCAGGAACAACTTTTGGTTGAAGATGAGCCTTGAAGGAAGCCAGGAGGTTGTTTCACATGTAACCCCGATGTTGGGCAGGAGAACCCAGGAGGGCTCCTAACACTCACAAGTGTTCTAGCACAGGGTCACCTTTGATCTGGTCAGACAGGAAGACACTTTGGAGTGGTTAAATGAGCTTACTTTATTCCAGTTTAGTCTTCTCAAGAGGGTTGCTGATAATAGGAGCACCAGCTCCTATAATATTCCCTAATCACACATCTCTCAGGGGCAGGTGAGAATAGAAATATAACTCCTCATCCCCTAAGCCTCCGTGGGGGCCGGTTGAGGCAAACACAGGTCTATGTGCCGATCAAGGCGGGTATATGCATTCCTCCATGCATTACCCACATCCCACAATGGGTCCCCCACTCACTGACCGGGGCCCACCTGCTTTATAGGTCCACAGACAAAGAAGGCATCTTGCCAACGTTAAGCTCACAGGTTAACTTGAGCAATATCACCATGACCTAGCACAGCGCAGGCATACATTATGTCACCCATATATCTCACTGTGTAAGCGTGGTAGAGATGTTTTCAACCATAATTGGTGGGAATTTTGGCCATGGATCCTGGAACTGTTATCCGAGAGGGAATAACAAAACCCTCCTTACACACACGGTAAAACTCACCTTACTTACAGCAGTGGAGATAAGGGAGAAGAGAATTCCAGGCATGGAGGACCCAGCTGGTGCAAAATGCATGGAAAGAAGCTGGGAAATATAGCATCTTGTTGGTGGAACAGCCATGAGGCCAAGACCGCTGGGTCGAAGAGTACATATTGGGGAGCAAGGTGGAAGAAGACGGGAAAGGGGGAGGGGACAGGGTATGAGGGGCTTTGAATGCCAAACACAGCTTTTTGAATATGTTCCTGGGAGCCGTAGGCAGCCACTGTGGTTTGTTGAATGGGGGGGGGGGATGATATCAGACCCGTGTTGTAGGAAGATCCCTTTGGTGGATCGCAGTGGGGAGAGGCTGGAGGGAGGCAGACCTACCAGCAGCTGTTGCTGTGGTCCAGGGGTGAGGTGAGGAGGACATGCAGCAGGGTGGGAGCAGGGACAGAGGAGAGAAGGTGAGAGAGTGAGCCTGAGGAACTGGGAGGATAGTGTTGCCCTAGACAGTGACAGGGAAGGTAGGAGCAGGTGAGGGTTTAGGGGGAAAGATGAGTTCTGTTCTGGGCGTGTTGAGTTTGAGGTGTCTACTGGACATCCACTTTGAGACTGGAGATCAGGGCTCAATAGATTTGAGAATAAGCAGTGTAGAAATGATAATTGAATCCATGATAGCTAATGAGATTACCAGGTGAGAAGTGTGAAAGGCCAGAACAGAGTCCTGCTCAATTAGGGGACATGATGGAGCTCTAGAAAATGACACTGAAAAAGAGGAGTCAGATTTCTTTTTAATTTTTTTTTTTTTTTTTGGTGAGGCAATTGGGGTTAAGTGACTTGCCTAGGGACACAGATAGTGAGTGTTATGTGTCTGAGGCTGGATTTGAACTCAGGTCCTCCTGACTCCAGGGACGATGCTCTATCCACTGCGCCCCCTAGCTGCCCCTTTTACCTAGCTTTCTTCAAGGCTCAACTCAACTGCCACTTTCTTCCTCCATGTGATCTTTTTTTTTGCATTTTGGTGAGGCAGTTGGGGTTAAATGACTTGCCCAAGGTCACACAGCTAGAAGGTATCAAGTGTCTGAGGCTGGATTTGAACTAAAGTCATCCTGATTCCAAGGCCAGAGCCCTATCTACTGTGCCACCTAGCTGCCCCTTGGAGTAGTCAGATAGGTAGGAGGAGAAGTAGGAGAGAGTAGTGTGCAGGAAGCCTAATGTGCAATAGAGGGTGATTAACAGTGTCAAAGGTTTCAGAGAGGTAGATCAAGAAGACCAGCGAAAAGGTGTGGAGTCAGGAGGTGAAGTGTTCTGTCCAAGGAACAGCAAAGAAGCCATTGCAGCTGGCTTGGAGAGTACACAAAAATGGAAAGGGCTTTAAGACCCTGGGGATAAGAGGGAATCTCTGGCCTTTATCAAGGCTGGGGGGGTGACAAGCTTGGACCTGCACTTAAGGAAAATCACTTTGGCTGCATTGGTTTTGTTTGTGCAAAAGTCTTTTAATTTTATATAATCAAAGTTGTCCATTTTGTCATCTGTGATGCCCCCTATTCCTTGTTTGTTCATGAACTGTTCCTGTATCCGTAGATCAAAAAGGTACATTTCTTTGTATTTCTAATCGATGGTGTCACTCTAGTATTTCTCAGTCAAGATAAGTTTGGATCTTACCTTGGTATTTGGTGTGAAATAATCAGTCTATATATAATTTCTGCTTGACTGCTTTTTTGTTTTCCCAGCAGTTTTTCATCTAGCGACATTTTACCTTAATAGCCGAGATCTTTGGGTTTATGGAACGTTAGGCTATTAGGTTTGCTTCTGTATCTTGAATACCTAATCTCTTCCACTGATTAACCTTCCCTTTTTAACTGGTACCAAATCACTTTGATGATTACTGCTTTATTATGTGGTTTGAGAGTGATGATAATGGGCAGCCTTGCTTTTCATATGCTCTTACTGGAAAGGCCATCAATTTTTCTCCATTAGTTATAGTGTTTGTTCTTTGTCTTACGTACTACTTAGCAGGTTAAGAGAAAGTTCATTCATTCCTATGCTTTATGGTGGAAACAATTTCTGTTTTTGTTTTAAGTTGGGACTTTTTGGTTAGTTGCTTTTTGATTATTTTACCTATATGTGGAATTCATTGATTTGTTCTTTTTTCCTTTTTATTGGTGAAAGTGTTTAGAGATAGAAAGCAATACTTTAATAAGTAAAGATAGAAAACCCCTAATGACTGCTTTAGGTATATGCTACAAGTTTTGTTATGTTGTTTTCTTTAATATAATTTTCTATTATTTCTTCCTGGATCCACTAATTCTTTAAGATTAAGTTACTGAGTCTCCAATAATTCCTTTTTCAAAGGCCCTTTACTGAAGATATTTATTGCATTGTAGTCAATCGATTGAATATATATACTTTCCTATGTTTTTCTTGTGTTCTCCTTTTCCATTTCAAAGTATCGACTCATTCCTGACCATTTCATCAAAAGTCCATTTTTATGCTCAGTTCTGCCAAATAGGTTGTTCTTGGCTGACAGCCTTTATCTTGTGTCTTTTGGAATAGCGTATTCTAAACTCTCCTCCTCTTCATGGCGATCGCCGCCACGTCTTGTGTGATCCTTCCTGACTGTGGCTTCTCGTACCTGAGCTTTCTTTTTGACGGATGGCAGCACTTTTTCTTTGGCCTAGTAATCATGGGTTTGGCCATGATTTTCCTGGGAGTTTCCATTGGGGATTTTTATAAGCAGATGACTAGTGGACTCGTTCTGTTTTCACTTTGTATTCCAGTTCTAAGATAGAGGCGTCAGACTCGCGGCCTGCCGAACTCCCGAGTACAGCCCGAGTCAGATCAGAACGTCGCTGGGAGATGTCTGAATACTGTATGACGCAGAGAATGTTAATTCGCAGTTTTCTAAGTCGGCAGACAGCCCGCTGGGGTCTGTTTCTGTTTGAATTTGATGCCCCTCTTCTAAGCCATCTAGGCAATTCTTATTTCTGATTCCTCAAACTGTGGTGTCCAAGATATTGGGGGGGTCATGATGTTTGGGTAGTCTGATTAAGAGATTCTGGTTTTGATACTGGGTGCCTGACATCGCCCTCATGTTGTTATGTCTGTCTTTGGGAGTCTTTCTGTCTGGCTTATTGCGGTTTTCTGTGAATTCAGTCCTTGAGGAAGGGCTCCTGCCGCCCGTTACAGGCGGTAACTCTCCTTGCTCTTTCTTCCTTCCTTGCTGCTCTCAGGTGGTCCTTGGGCCTGTGGATTTGCCATCAGTAGTCAGCACCCACTGTGTGATAACTCCTTGAGGGCAGGGCCAGCTGGGTGACAGCATAGGTAGAATGCTGGACTTGGAATCAGGGAGACGCGAGTTTGAATCCTGCCTCAGACACTGACCCATGGCAAGTCGGTTCCTCTCTCTCACCCCCAGTTTCCTCATCTGTAAAATGGAGGTAATAATAGCACCTGCTCGGCAGAGCTCTGAGCATCAGATGAGATAATATGTAAAGGGCTTGGCAAGCCTCAGAAAGCTATCTAAGTTCTAGTCAATGTCATGCTCACGTTTGCCTTTGTATCCTTAGCACTCTGTGCCGTGCCTGGCACACAGCAGGCACTTAGTAAGTGTTTGGATTGAGTTAATTCTCCCGTGGTGCCTGGCGAAGGCGTCGGCCCCGGACGATCTGGAGTGTGTTTCGTGTTACAGGCTGCGGTAACGTTCAAGGATGTGGCCGTGGACTTCACCCAGGAGGAGTGGGCACAGCTGGACCCTCCCCAGAGGAACCTCTATCGGGACGTGATGCTGGAGAACTATGAGAACCTGGTCTCCCTAGGTAAGGATGCCTTCTTCTGACCCACGGTCAGTCCTCTGACACGTCTTTGCTTCTTTGTTCACTAGATGCTAGCGGATTTCTCAAGCATTTCTCTTGCGTTTTGGCATAGTGTGACAGTATTCCAGAATTCATGAACATTGGGGATGGGCTTAAGTCCTTTATGACCAAGAGACAGAGTGTTTCTGTTTGCTTCCTGGGTGAATGAATGGTCTTGGTGTGATGAGATTGTCATTAGAGCGGTCTAGGAGCCCCCTCTCTTTTTCTGCACTGCTCCCCTTCTTTTGTTCTCTCCTTTCAGAGAAGTGCCCCGAGCTCTGTCTCTGAAGTTAGAGGGCAGGTTCCTGAAGATATCACTGGTCTTTGGGTCACTGGTTGGTTAAATAAACTGCAGTTAATTTTGTCTGAATGCAAATCACCCTATGAATGAAAGGCAGTTTGGTACCAAGGAAAGAGTGCTTGATGGGGCATCAGAATCCTTTCCTTCAGATCCTATCTCACTCACTCCCTGTGGGACTTTGGGAAAGATAGGTTATTTCCCTGGGTCTCATCTGTAAAATGAGGCACTTGGACCAGCTGACCTCTAAGGGGGTACCTCTAAAGCTATGACTCTTTGATCTTTCGGGGCGTACCTCCAGAAGTTTTATTTGCCTCCCTTGAAGCATGTATCGTTTTCTGCCTGAAGAGTAGGGGGCTAGGATTGAATTCTTTGTTGGTTGTCTTTTGAATTTCTTTCTCCGTGAGTAGGGCTTCCAGTATCCAAACCTGATGTGATCTCCCAGTTGGAGAGAGGAAGAGTACCTTGGATGCAAGATGGAGAATCTCTAAAAGACATTTGTCCAGGTGAGTGAAGAAAAACCAGCTTAGAAGGGAGCTGTGATAAGCACCGGCTCAGCTGGTCATTCAGCGGTCAGGATCTTTGAAGCGTTCAGTCAGTCAGCGAGCGTTGTGAAAGACCTGGTGTGTGCTGGCTGCCGTGCCAGGTTCTGGGAGTGCAGAACCAAAGACGCTTCAGTCCTTATTCTCAGGGAGCTTCCATTCTTCCAGGAGAGCCAGACACGGGCAGACATCCAGATAGACGGCAGAAACCGATGTAGCTTAGGTAACAATGAAGAAAAGCGTCGTGAGGTGAGCTTCAGAGTAAATACGTGCTTCTCTGAGTGGAGGTCAGGAAGGGGCGTACTTCCCAGGCAGAAAAACCAGCCACATGCAAAGGTGGGAAATGGAGGCCATGTTCAACTGGGCAATGGGAAGCCAGCTTGGCTGAACCTGAGAGCGGAGGAAGGGGAGTCTGGAGGGCTTTCAGAAGCCCCTATAGAGGAGTTTCCATCCTAAGAGCAATAGGATGCCCCTGGATAGTTCATTCTATAAACAGGGGAGTGACACAGTCAGGGTGACGTTTGAAGAAAACCCCCTTGGCAGATGTGTGGTGGAGGGTGACCTGGAAAGGGGAGACTAGGAAAAAAAGCAAGTGTTTGCCAGGAATGTTGAAGGTCTCCAGCCTTCTCCCACAGTTGTCTGATGTGATACAGACTCTTTTTGTTTTTTAATAGTTGTTCTAATCAGCCATAACCCACCTTCTCGACCTCCCACACCAACCCTCCCCACCCCACTTGAGAAGATAAGAAAAACAAAACCCGTAACAAACATGCAGAGTCATTCTCCATGTCCAAAAGCCTATCTGACTCGTTCCGTACTCCTACTCCTGGACCTTTCAGAGGCGGGCAGCTTGTCTCATCATCAGTCTTCTGGAGGCATGGCTGGTCATTATGCTGACAGAAGTCTTCCATCATATTGATACACCACAACTTGTTCATCCAGTCCCCTCGCATTCCCATTTTTTGTGTTGTGAATATTTTCATATATCCTTTAATCTGCTCTCCCTGTAACTCCTCCCTCTGCCTTTTTCCCCTTCCCCTCCTATTTCCCTGTTGAGTGAAATGTGTTCCTGTACCCAGCTCTGTGTGTGTGTGTGTGTGTGTGTGGCCAGTTGGAAGGAGAGTGAAGGTCACAGGTCAGTTATTCCACACACCGCCCCCCCCCCGCTGTTGGTATGGGTGTTTGCTTGCACACCTTGATTCTGTGAGAAAATTTCCCCCAAATCTTCTTTTCCCTCTCCCTGCCAAATTCCCCCCTCCCAGGTGTGTTCCCCTTCCCCTCTCCATTTTTTTTCCTCTTAAGAACATCAAGACCTTTCAGAGTCTCTCCCAGGCCTTGTCTATTGAGATTCTCTCTATGACCCCTGACAATGACAGGGTTCAGAGGTGACACATGGATCATCCCCACACAGTATCTGAACGTGAGCAGTTTATCCTTGTTTGGTCTTTTAACATTATTCATTGATGTTGACATTTTTATGTTTCTCTTCACTCTTGTATTTGAACTTCATAGTTTCTGTGCACCTTTGGTTTTGTCATCAGAATGCTGGGAAGTCCTCTGTTTCATTAAAAGCCCATTTTTTCTCTGTAGCAGTAGACTCAGTTTTGCAGGGTAAGTTACTCTCGGCTATAAGCCCATTTATCTTTTGTTTTCTGTAATATTGTATTCCAAGTTCTCTGCCCCTTTATAGTTGTAGTTGCTAAATCCTTTGTGATCCTGCCTATAGCTCCTCAGTACCTGAATTCTTTCCTTCTGGCATCATGTAATATTTTTTCTTTGACCTGGAAACTCTGGATTTAGACTGTGATTTTCCTGGGAGTTTTCATTTTGGGGTTGCTTTCAGGAAGTGAACAGTGGATTCCTTCTGTTTCCACTTTGGCCTTTGGTTCGAGGACCACTGGGCAGTTTTCTTTTAAGATTTCTTGAGGAGTGAAAGCAGTGACTTGCTTGAGCTCTCCCCCGAACCTCTCCAAATACCTGTGAAAAAATGGCTCTGAACAAATTCTAGAGCAGCAGAACCCACAAAAAGACAGTGAAACAAACTTCCAGACCAAGACTACCTGGATGGTTGATTGGAAAGATCTGTTGCGCCAGGCTGGGAGAGGAGCGCAGTTCAGAGTGGGCATGCAGGCAGCTCAGGAGACTGAATCACAGGCAGCTGTGGCAGCGTCCAGACCTCTCAACCCACAAAAGCCAAAGTCAACTTAGAAGGTCAATAGGAAAAGTTTTTGACTGAAGTGAAAGGAACTTGGTCTCGCCCCAGTCCTGGCGCAGCCCCAGGGTGCTGCTTGCAGAGTTGTCAGCCCACAGACAGAAGGGGGATTGATTGGCTGATCAAAGAAGGATTGCAGGGATCTCTTTGCTGGTGCTGAGGCAGGATTCACTTGCTTTGCCTGTGCTTGTATCTGGGTCACAGTTCTGGGTGGCGGTTCTTGGGCAAGGAGGAGCGCTGGCGTGGTGGAGCTTGTAGTGGCTGTGGAGAGGAAACCCTCCTCACAGTTCCAAGGTAGAAAAGAGTGCTTGTGGTCATTCACAGACCAGAGCCTAGGCCAGGAAAGGAGTAAATATCTCTCCTTTGATCATATCACCTTGGAAGAACTGAAAATTTACAGATCCCTGGAAGTATCTCTGAAAACAGCTACACAAAATCCCTGAAGTTTGGGACAGTACATTCTCCACACTGGAAGCAGACCCGTGCCTTAACAAAGAGTTTATAAGTCAAGTGATTGGCTGGGAAAATGAGCAAACAGTGCAAAAAAAGGCAGACCATAGAATCTTTCTTTGGTGACAAAGAAGATCAAGAAGTACAACCAGAAGAGGACAACAAAGTCAAAGCCTCCAAGAAAAATATGAATTGGTCCTAGGCCATAGAAGAGCTCACAAAGGATTTTGAGAAGCACATAAGAGAAGTAGAGGAAAAACTGGGAAGAGAAATGAGAGTGATGCAAGAAAATCATGAAAAACAAGTCAACAACTTGCTAAAGGAGACCCAAAAAAAATACTGAAGAAAATAACATCTTAAAAAAATAGAGTAAGGGGCAGCTAGGTGGTGCGGTGGATAGAGCACCGGCCCTGGCTTCAGGAGGACCTGAGTTCAAATCCAGCCTCAGATACATAATGCTTACTAGCTGTGTGACCCTGGGCAAGTCACTTAACCCCATTGCCTAGCAAAAACCAAAAAAAAAAAAAAAAATGGAGTGACCCAAATGACAAAAGAGGTCCAAAAAGCCAGTAAGGAGAAGAATGCCTTCAAAAGCAGAATTGGCCACATGGAAAAAGAAGTCCAAAAGCTCACTGAAGAAAATACTTCCTTAAAAATTAGAATAGAGCAAATGGAAGCTAATGACTTTATGAGAAATCAAGACATTATAAAACAAAACCAAAAGAATGAAAAAATAGAAGACTGTGAAATATCTTATTGGAAAAACCACTGACCTGGAAAATAGATCCAAGAGAGATAATTTAAAAATTATTGCACTACCTGAAAGCCATGATCAAAAAAAGAGCCTGGACATCATCTTTCAAGAAACTATCAAGGAAAACTGCCCTGTTATTCTAGAACAAGAAGGCAAAATAGAAATTGACAGAATTCATCAATCACCTCCTGAAAGAGAAAGGAAAACCTCTAGGAATATTATAGTCAAATTCCAGAGTTCCTAGGTCAAGGAGAAAATATTGCAAGCAGCCAGAAACAATTCAAGTATTTTGGAAGCACAAACAGGATAACACAAGATTTAGGAGCTTCTATATTAAGGGACCAGAGGGCTTGGAATATGATATTCTGGAGGGCAAAGGAGATAGGATTACAACCAAGAATCACCTACCCAGCAAAACTGAGTATAATCCTTCAGGGGAAAAAATGGACATTCAGTGAAATATGAAGAGACCAGAGCCGAATAGAAAATTTGACTTTCAAATTCATGACTCAAGAGAAGCATGAAGAGGTAAACAGGAAAGAGAAATCTTAAGGGACTTATCAAGGTTGAGCTGTTTACATTCCTACATGGAAAGATGATATTTGTAACTCACGAGACCTTTGTCAGTATTAGGGTAGTTGGAGGGAAAAAGTACATGGATAGATAGATAGATAGATAGATAGATAGATAGATAGATAGATAGAT